TGGTAACTTACTATAGTAATTTGTATGGATATGGTCCAAAATGTTGGTGGGGTGTGAAGGTGGGGTTGTCCGGATACTTTTGCACTAGTACTGTACTATGGTCTAAGTATGGTCCTAAACTTCTGATTTCGCTAATGCAAGCACAGGAAGTAGCTTATGCGCTAGAAATTCGAGACGGGCAATTCTCATATGACAAAGACTTCAAAAAAACTACCCGGTACACTTGGGCTCTGTCGGTTCTCCGCAGGTTCCACGATCTGTTGCTAAAGACACTCGAAGCATGGGAAGAATTCGCTTCCGGGGAATTGAAGTGTTTCGACACGAATAGCGAAGTACTCGACAGGCTTTGGGACAGATACTATGAGAGTGTTTTCAACGACGTGTCAGAACTTCTATATCTGCGAAGATCACTCCTTCAGAGGATTCAGACCTTTGACCGCATGAAAGGTGGGGTACGTCGCGATAGCCAACAGGTATCTCTGCTTGATTACTCAGGGTTCTACAGCTTGTTACTGCCTCTGCGTTGCGTGAAAGTCAAAATGCGACTCAGCAAGGAAAAGATATTGGTCTCTTGACGAACATGACAGTTGTAAGTCTGATAAGCGCTTCGCGAGAATGCCCTGGTTGATGAATTCAGGCATATCTACCGTTCACTCTGGCTTCCGTAAGTTAATCTGCATAGTTATTATGGTATGGATTTGGTTCACACCATTTTGTAGGGTATTTTCAGCATATCGATGGTAAGATCTGACACACGGTGGATATGGTGGGTTTTGACGACCGTTATCCTCGGCATTGCAACTTTCTCAGTTGCGTTTGCTTTCCGGCTAAGCTCGTGGTGGAAGAAGACCATTTAGGCGGCGCTGCTGGAGAAGGTCTCTAGATATATATGGGATCACATCTTCCAGGTTGAGAAAAAAGACATCTGATGACCACGTGCTTCGTCGTATTGGCTTTGACTTCTCCTGAGCCGATTGACCCTTTTTTGCCTGCTCCACCCTTATCCCCCTCTGTTGTAGTCCTACAACCTTGGGTTCTGTCCTTCCAACTTTCAAACCAAGATGTATGCATGTAATGCTGGTACCATTTTTGGCGCTGAATTGAACATCACCTCAGCGTCGATATAGTGCATCGACCGCAAAACTTCACGCCACAATTGCCACAACAAGGGTTGAATTCGAGAGTTTGAGGGCCATGCCCACAATTACACTGATTCAATAAATCAGCTACTAGAAAGAGACAAAAGTATAGCCAGACCTTACACAGTAATAGATGGCGGCGCCCGGCCCCCACAGCAATGGCAGATGGGGCCTCTGCCAGCAGACAGAACGCTGTAAAGCTGCATCTACAACAGGACTGACAGCCTTGATCGTGCAGCTAGCGCATCTCGTCTGCTTGCAACTGGCACATCGTGGGTTTAACACTTTGACATCCGTTTTGTTCTCCCTGCTTGAGCACGATGTGTTGCACTATCAAAAGTCAATTTATGGCGACTCTAGAAGCCATATCGGTGCAGCGCGGGCTTGATGAAACGCACACAAGTCCACGAAGTCCATTCTGTTTCATTCTCCTCTAGAAATATTGCGAAGCTGGATGTGTTCTCACCCAACTCGACGTCTTCGCTGCGTGCTTGGCTGCTACCTCCCAACCTCATCAGGTTGGAACCCGGAAAACTGAGAAAAGGCATGTACTAATCAACTCGAGCATACTCCAAAGTTCATCATGGAATTCATGTGACAGAGGAGCATGAACTAATGACTTATGAACTCTGTTGCCGGAGTTGATGCCCCGTCCACGGGGCCACATGACAGAAGGAAGTACAGTTGAATTCCGGATGAGGAGAGTTTACTCATTCAGTGACATGGGGGATACTACTACGACCGGACCGAGGCACAGTGACAATGGCATTGAGACGCTACAGGGGGCTATCACAGCGAGGATCTATCCCATTAATTTGTCAGCACTTCCCTCAAGTTAGGGCTGCAGGCCTTTTAATCAACTACGAGCCTTATCCCCCCCGCACGACTAAAACCAAGTTGAATAAATAGTACGATGATCACTTTTGAGCCCTACAGAAAGCATCTTACAACGGTTCATGCGCTGGCCTAGCCTCCGAACTTGGACAAAGCATAGGCCCGGATCTTATCAACCACGCCGGTTCTCTGCCGAGCAAAGACCTCGAGGGCGGATTGTTGATGTGCCAGTTGGAGGCAGTGGGAACGTACAACTAGAGTGAGTTGACCAGAGCAGCGAAGCACACCAGTACTGATCGTTCCCAAAGGATACATCCGCCTCAAGGCGCATCGTCTGAAAACAGCAAAATTCTGATATTCCTGCCTCATGGCGTTACCGTAACGAGAAACGTCAAAGATGGCACCTCATACAAAGCGCAGATACCCAATATCCTCTCTTCTCTCCTCCCAACCTGCACGATCATCACCCTGAACTACCGCCTCAACCCACCGACCCACATCTTCCCTCTCCCCATCCACGATACAGCAACAGCATTCAACTACATCCTCCGCACCTTCACCAAGCATGCCACCCCCCGACCGCCTGGGCGGCCCCCTAGCCACAAGCCTCGCCCTCACCTCCCCAAACGCGATCCACTCCGTCGCGGTCTCCGAACCCATCGTCGACTGGGTCAGCCTCGACAGCGGAAGTGGTGAGGACGACTCCTCCTCCCCAGAAACCGCGATTCCCATAAAAAGGAAACCAAAGCCCTACCAATACACCTCCACCGACGCAAAATCCCTGCTCTCCCTGCGCTCCCAGCTCTTCCCGAAACCAGATAGCTACTTCGACCCCTTCGCGTCTCCGACCCTCTTCCTCCGCGCTCCGGGCCGAGATTGCCCGCAACCATACCTAGACTTCGATGATATCTCAGACAGCGAAGCCTTCGGACCCTATGACGACGATACGCACACTCGCACCCACTCCTTCTCTTCATCTTCGACAGAGGAGCAAGAAAATCCAGCGGTATTGAGGCCGGTTAAGCGCCGCAAAGTGCTCCGACGCTGGCCGGCCAACGGCCCACCAGAGAGTGCGGACTTGCCTCGTTTCCGGGTGTTCGTGAGCGATGATCTGGAGGGTGAGGGGATGGTGCTGAGGCAGCAGGGGGTGGAGTTGGTGGAGCTGATGCGGAAGGTGTGCTTTTATGGACAGGAAAAAGAGGTTGCGGAAATGAGGGTGGGAGTGGATGTGCTTCCGGGTAGGCAGAGAGAGGAGGGCATGCTAGGAATAGAGGAAGCGGCTAGATGGCTGGCGCAGAGGCAGGAGGAAGATGCATGATTTTTTGACATATGTGTAGCGATCAGCGGTTCTCGGGTCTCTATCCCATCCACATGGCAAAATATGTACCCATCAAGGCTTATAATACTTCCTCCAATCATGTTCTTCCCGAAACCCCAAAACCTCCCTAATTTTCTGATTACTCAACGGTGCCTCCCACTCACCCATCTCCCTTGTAATCTCCGTCCTCGGCTCATTCTCCTGTAAGAACCTCTTGGTAGGCACCGTCGTCGTGATGGTATCATTCGCTGCATTAAATACCTGAAATCCCAAACCATCCTTCTTGACCGCCAGATCACAAATCTGCCCCAAATCCCTTGCGTCGATATAGCTCCACGCATTCCGCTTCCGCGTTTCGGGCTGGCCTACATACTTGGGGAAGTCACGCTCATACTCGTGTGGTTCGACGACATTCCCAATGCGGAGGGCGTAGATGTCATTGTTGAAGCGGCGGGCGAAGGTGCGGGCGATGTGCTCGCCGCAGAGCTTGCTGCAAGCATATGTGTCCATGGGGTTGACATCGTAGGTGTCTTCGTCGAGAGGAAAAGAATGGTAGGAGAGGTCTTCGTCTCGGCCCTGAGAGAAACAGACGCCATAGACAGTTTCGGAGGAAGCAATGATGATCTTTTTGACGCCGAGCTTGCAGGCCGCTTCGATGACGTTGTAGGTCGACATGGTGTTGATGCGGAAGGTTTCGTTGTCCGGCACGATCATGTTGCGGGCGCAGGCGGCGAAATGGATTACGGCGTCGGGAGGGCCAGGGTGCGCAGGAAGGGAGAACTCGGACATGTCGAAGAGGGACGAGAGGGCGTTGAAGGTCTGGCCACTGTCTGAGAGGTCGGTTTTCGTGGTGTAGACTGATTTACCCGTCGGAAGATGGTCTTCAGGAAATGGTGTAAGGTCGAGATTGAGGATTGAATAGCCTTGTTGAAGGAGGTACGGAATAACATGGCGACCAGCTTTGCCTGAACCGCCGGTGAAAACAATACGTTTTGACACTGACTGAGCCATGATTGATGTTGTACGGTTAGGGGTGGATGGGTATTCCTGTCAATTCGAAGATGTCGCTGCATGAAATAGTCCCCGCAGTTGCAGTGACGGAATGATCGACATTAGAATTGGAGACGTACCCACATCATTGGCTCGAGCTGCCAGAGGTCTCAAGTGCGGCAATTGTGCAGTGTCTGAAGAACGTAGGTGGTAGGGTCGAGTTTTGGAACCGTATAAACAACTCTATGAGAGAGGCCAAGCATCCTTGCGTAGATGCTGAACTGATGAAAGCATAGTCTTCTGGGCTGGCTGGAATTCTGTTCTGCAGCGACATTGCTAGTTTTGAATAACTTGTACACAAAGTAAGCTTATTTGATCTTTTTCGCTTTCAGTTTGATCGTCTCGTTATTCACGAAAATTCCTTTCCCCTTGTATGGTTCTGGCTTCCTCCATTCTCGGATCTCTGCTGCGAATTGAGCCACCACCTGCTTCTCACATCCTTCAAGCAATATCCTCGTGGGTTGTGGTACACTAGCCTTGACACCAAGCGGTATTGGTAGTTCGATCGGATGGGCATATCCCAATTTGAGAGAAACGAATTGTTGTCCAGGATACTCCGGTTTTTTGGTGATTGCGGTGTTTTCGATAGTGGCCCGGTAGCCAACACCAACTAGGCGTAGAACACACGAGTGTCCTTCTGATACTCCAAGAATGTAGTTCTGCAAGTGGGCTCGCATGGTGCCTATCTCTTCTGTCAGCGACGTAAGACCTCTGATGCGCATGCTTCACAGACCCCACATAGCCCTTTGATGGGTGATAGTCGGATCTCCAACGCTCAAGGTGACTTTCTGGCTCTTGGTGTTGTGCTTTGCGGCGAGGTAGGGCGGTAGTGGAAGTGTCATCTGGCCTGTTCACAGCATTAGCCGCGAAGATGTTCGAATCTGTCCTTTCAGTGAACTACCTAATGGCCCTGCTACCTCCACGGCAGATACCGGCACATCCTTCTTCCGACTCCTGACATTAGACTTGGGCAAATCGAGGAAACGCAGCGACACCTCCGGCGGGATCGATATAGCTGCACCACCGATCCGGGAGTGGCTGGCAGTAGAGCATGAAAAGCTTCGAGCTTGATACGGCTTTGCAAGACATGGAAGAAGGAAGACGGACACCGAAGACGCAGCCTGAGACTCTCGCACCAGTCGTCGCAGGGATCGATGTACAGCTGGACAAGACATTGTTGTGCTGCTTCTGTTGGTTTCGGAAGATTATCATGTCGACCTCAAAGACAAGCTCTTTCCTAGATTTGGGCAAGACCGGAAAAACCTCGGCTACATACATATCAGACGCGTCCTTGCACATAACTAACTACATACTACGTATGGTCCACAGGACATCTACCCAGTGTTCTCCCTTCTGGTCCTTCGACGATTTATAGCGTTGATGTGCGCGCGAGTACAGCCAAACCGGGTGCTCCTAAATCATTTAGCCAGCGACCTGAAAGTGAATTGAATACATGGTGCCCTCCTGATCACGCGAACCAATCTTTGCCCTTACCATTTCTTCACCAACTACCTCACCAACTCACCAATTCCTCGAGCACGTTTTCACTACCAATCCTCTATACACTCGCCAAAGAGCTTGACCTTACTCCAGTCTCTTCTATATCATCGATCTCATATTTGCCTGCTTCTACCATATTCTTCCTCATTTCATTGGTCCTTATGCCCGTTTCCTATTTACATTGCAAAAGCGACATATGCGTGTTGTACTCCATATACAGGCGCCAACATCATGAAGACCGGGTAGCTATCTAGTTGACATTGAACAACTCGAAGGTGCATCACCTTGCAGCCCGGCTGTAACTTACGCTGGAGCGAGACCAGATCCGACGATGAAGGCGGTTAGAGGCCTTGCGAAAGCATCGTGCCGCTACCTCGTCACGTTCGCAGCTTTAACAAGACCACGAAGTTGCAATGCGTTTCAAGGCAAGAACGTTATATCGGCAACAGGTAAGAGTGAGGTTCTAGAGATAAAGAAAACATCTCCATTGGCTGGACTATCAAGCTACTGACTTTGTCGTTCTAGCTTATCCAAATCTAGCACCATATCAAGCGACCTCGAACGGATCGACACTCGTCCAATATGAGCATGCTGAGGAAGAGTTGATGGAAGGCATCAGGCTGATTGAGAGCATGAAGAGCGCTTCGACCTGCAAAACAAAAGCAACTCAGCAGCTACTGAATTCATGTTCAGCTCTTGACGGTACTGGGCCTAGTCAAGACAGACCCGCAGAAGAGCTCGATAAATTGAAAAGCCAGTATGCTGCACGGTTGGCTGTTTGTGAACTGCAAGAAGCTGAAAAGCCTCCAAAATTACCACGTTGCTCGAGTTTGGGGTCTTCTGGCCCCGGCGAGTTGGTCAATCGCAGTCAACTGGCAGCCTGCTTGAGGGAACTTCAGAACAATATGGTATTCTGGGGCTCATACGTTAATAGCCTGCAGAATGTGGGTTACATGTGCCAGGTGGCACGTGCAGAGATCGAGAAAGAGCAGCTAGTAGAACAGCGCCAGGCTTCTCTACAGACTACACTCTTGGTGACAAGAGTGCTTTCAGAATTTCAACAAAGCGTCGCAACACAAAATGCAGAGCTCCTAGTTCATGCACAGAAACTAAGAGACCTGCATCGTCAAAACATCGAGGAATTAGCCATGGCCCGCAAGGATACTTCTGCAACCTTGCATCAGCTCAGAGAAGACTTTAGTGCTCAGTTGCAAAACGTGGCTGACAAAGCAGAAGCCGTGATTGAGACGGTGACAGCGAGTGCCAGCAACACAAATGAGGAGCTTGGGCGGCATGTGCAGAATGTGCAGCACAGCCTTGCAAACATCTGGCAGCTGATGGCTGAGGGCAATGCGGAAATTGCTGCACGCCAGCTGCAAGATTCGACGGAAAGCCACGAGATGGCTCTGGCAATCCAGCGCGCTCTGGAGAGCGTTGTCATGGATGAGATTGGGGGACTCTCTGATGCCTTGTCAAGTCTCTCTAGCGATTTGTTACTCGCGGGGCATCAAGTCACCTCGATGCGCCAAGGACATGCCTTCTTAGCAGAGAGTCTCGATCAATCCGTGGCCAAATCTGTCCACGTGGCTGACACGCTCGACAAGCTGAATGTGCCCGTCCTAGAGATGTTTGCTCAAGCGGCGAGCCTTGCAAACTTCATTTTTAGTGATGCGTTCTTGGGTCTTGTCGGCTTCCTTTCACCAATGGTCTTCGTCTTCGTCTGCGCTGCGGTCTTTCAGTTTAGGTTGATGTTCTGGCTGCTGAGAGTCGGAGCTCTGCTCGGAGCCTCTTACGGTAAGTTCTGATTTCCTATCAAGGTATCTTCTTATCTAACTTCATGGCATAGTCACCTTATGTGTATATACGTACAGGGATACCTCACCTGTCCTTCAAAATATCATTCTCGGCGCATGGCAAGCGACCACAACCTCACTGATACTCCTCATGTTGAGCTACATCCTTTTTGTTGCTTTCAAGACCGCTCGAAGAACTTGGCATAAGCTTGGTGACACGACCAGCATGACGATTACTCCTGACGAGGATGAAGAAGCGAGCCGACTCAAGCGAGCCCGAAAGAAGAGCCTTGAAAATGCCAGGAAAGCTCGCTTCGACAGAGCATCAACCTCGCCGCCTTGCTGATAATCTAGCTCATTTCACCTCTACGTGCAGTCCAAGCTTTCCCTATCCATAACCAACATCTATCATATCTATTGCTTCGAGATGGGCGAGGAAGCTCGAAACAAATCCTTTTGGCGAATAAGCATCACGATGCTACGATTCACGAGTTATGGCTACCCCACGAACGCCATGAAGTTCTGCCGCCTGATGAGGACGATTCTTTTCAATCTGGGAGGTTGCGTTTGCTTGTTATCTATTTTTCGTACCTGCCTTGACGTTGATTCAGTTGAATCTTGCTGCGGCCTGAAGCGTCGTTTCGTGCTGCATTGCTTTCATGATGAGGTGCTGGTGGCCTTCTGCGCTGATCTCTCAATACTGCGGACGGCGTTTTGCTGCGGAGTCAGATGGACGTGTTGAAGAGAACGTCTCCTCCTACTCCAGCAATCTACATACCTGCCGGTGCTGAATCTTTTGGGAAGTCGGAGACAGACATTTCATAGTTAAAGCCCGACCGAAGCTAGCATGAGTGCAAGATTACAAATTCCATCACACTTGATCCTTTGGGTACAAGTCAATTCTCATTTTCTCTGCTCGGGGCTATCGATGCAGCCCAAGCGCCATCGCTAAATGCAAGCTCGCTCTGTGATGAATAACTTTGATGCATTTATTTCACCCGCTGACACCACCCCGTAAGAATGATCTCAAGCTATGCAGGCCATAAACGCTCCATTTCATAATTCGTCAGTTTCCCAACATCTTAACCTTCATCCACTCGCTAGTGCCCACGCCGAGATTCAAGCCGTTCCTCTCCCACCACTCCCTGACCTCGGCCTCGCCGCTGCCGCCCAAGCTATCCTCCATGGCCTCCTCGATATCACAGGTCTTGTACTCGATCCGCATCCCGCTGCGCGTCTTCCACCACTCCAGCACGTCGGCATGCCCGTTCTTGGTCGCGCCGACCAAGACCTGATTATCGAAGATCATCTTGCTGCCCTTCAGCTCGCGCCACAGCTCCAGGACCCTGACGTGGCCGTGCGTGGACGCCAGCCGCGCGACGCCTTCTTCGTGCGAGTAGGGGATGCCGGAATTATCCCACCAGGCGACCGTGGCGGGGCGGCGGGACTGGGCGGCCGCGAGGATGGATTTGCCGACCTTGAGCGGGAGCGGGTGATTGGAATCCTGGCGCGCTCTGCTCGTCTTCTTCCACCAGTCCAGCACGTCGAGATGGCCCTTGGCGCTGGCGGATTCGAGCGCCTTCTCCGTGTAGCGCATCTCGAGGCCGCTGTGGGCCCACCAGTCGAGCACGTCGAGGAAGCCGGCG